AAGTAGACCTCACTTTATAAATTCAAATTATAAAATTGCTATATTATTATAATATGATCTTAGTCATAAAATTTTTATATTCAAAATGTAATTATAATGAATTCTTAGTCATAATATTATATATTATACTATTTTTAATAAAAATATTGCATTTGCACTATGAATTAAGGATCTGCATCGGGCCTAATTTTTCAGGCCCGGCCCTGCCCGAAATTATTTTAAAAAAGTCCGAATTTTTTTTTAAAATGTTTTTTCTGCCGAACCCGAATTTATTTAAATATAGAAATTCATTTTTATAATTACTCAAAATAAAAGATATATGTTTATATAGCGTCTAGTTTTTATAAATAAAATCAAATATTTTTATTTTACAAAAAAAATTTAACATAAAATTGATATATTTAGATATATTTTAAAAAATTTCCAAGGCCCCATCCCACCCGGCCTGAACTTTTTTACAAAATATTAGGCCCGACCCAGCCCGATTCCGATTTTCCTAATTTTGTGGATCTCTAATAAGAATTATTTATGTTTTACTAATAAACTCATTTGTATTAATTATATTATAATTGTTAAATTAGATTTTTTTGAATACAGCACAAGAATTACTCATATTTTATTGTATTCTATTTTTTTTAAATATAGTTATTTAGAATAAATTTTTAATATAATCTGTATAAAATTTATACATTTTGAAATTTATTTTATTGTATAAATAATAAATAAAATCTATAATGAAATTCTCTGCAAAATTTTGTTATATGCAAAAATTTAATTAAAATAATTATTTTTTACATAGAATAAAATATATTGGGGGATCATAAAAAATAGGAGGTTTGGCTTTGGGGTGCGATTTTATTCTTCTTTCTACACCGAATGGATTAAATTAATTTACAATTGACTAAACATTTATATAATTTTCAGAATAATGCTTTCAGTCGCGTATTAATCATAAATTTGGCCAAAATTTTGTTACTAATATTTTTTTCATTTATGCTGGCTACTATAGTGGTTAGACACCAATAAAGCACAAAATTGGTAAATTTTTAAAATGCGGTTTGGGAGCGAAGCCACTCCTCTCAAAAAAATTTTAACCCCCCCCCTATGGATCAATCCTGGCTACGCCACTGGGTGGTTATCATTAATACCTGCCATCGATAGAATTTTAAAATTTTACAAACCCTTAAAAAAATACTTCTATAAAGATTTTAAAAGCTGTCCAAAAATTTTGAAAAATTATTTCGAGTATGAAATAGCAGAAGCATATTTGGGATTAGTTTCACATGTAGGAAATCTACTTCATGCAGTTAATATTCAGTTGCAATCAGAATATTCATTATTAACAAAATCATGCTACAGCTCTGTTCATCTCTACAGTTAAAAATTGATAAATAATTTTATCGCGCTATTGCTAAAAATATTATATTAAAATGTTCAAATAATACTCTAATTAATACATTTTTAAATGAAGCAGATATTTTTATTAAGATTTTAGAATATTTACAATCCTCTATTTACAAATGTATAATTATTATGACCTTGAAACAGAAACCATCAATTGATGGTTTTTGTAATTTAATAAATATATTAAAAATACAGAAAGACATTGATGTCTTGTTTGAGAAGATTGTAATTCACTCTATTTTTTATGATTAGCCAGAATATTTAAAGTTAGATTGTCTAAAAGCAGAGGAGAAGCGGGTAGAATTTTTTCTTAATAACAATAAATCCCCATGCTTAGAAAAAATATGCGAGTATGTCTTCTCCTTACCTCATTCTAATGCCTCTACGAGCACATTTTTAGCCTGATGAGGACTGCCTGGAAAAAGGAGAGAAATCGGATTACTTTAGAGGCCGAGCTAATGGTTAAACAAATTTATAATATGTCATGCCAGGAATTTTATAAATACCTCAATAACGACGGTAAACGTTTAGTTCCATTATTCAAATCTCAAATAAAATATAATTAACATTATAACTATTTAATTTTCCATATTTTTTTAATATTTTATATAATCTTATTTATACATTCGCATAAATAAATATATTTTTTACATTGTAAATCAAAAATAGAGAGCATTACAATCTCCTCAAGCAAGACATCGATGTCTATCTGTATTTTTAAAATATTTAAACATTTTAATATAGTTTTAGCAATGGCGTCATAAAATTTATTGTCAATTTTTAACTGTAAAGATGAATTTATCTTCAGCATAATTTTATGAATCTTTGTTAATATTCTTCTGATTGCAACTGCACATTAACATCATGTAGTAGATTTCCTACATGTGAAATCATTCCTAAATATACCTCTGCCATTCATTATTGTAAAAAATTTTCAAAATGTTAGGACAGCTTTTATAATCTATATTTAAGAAATATTTTTTTAAAGGTTTATAAAATTTTAAAATTCTATCGATGGCGTGTATTAGGAACATATCGCAACCAACATTGTGCTGACTCAATCCTGTAAATACATCTGTTTTTACCAAATTCACTGAGGCATTATCAGATCAGAAAGCTGACATGCAATTTATCGATAATCCCGAGTCTGCTATATTTATCATTATATGGTTAGCTATGTCTTTGGATTTTTCATTATTTGAGGGGAAAAAATTTAATAGTTTAATTGAAACGTCCTTAATTTTGTTGAAAAATATTTCCCTTATTAGATGCATCTGTTTGAAATGTATGCCCATCTTTCAAATCGTCAAGAATTGACCACCTGAATTCAGGTTCTAAAACATTGATGATATCCTTGCTCATTTTTGTTATAAAAGTAAATTTCGATTTATCTTGGAGTCGTTAAATATTTTGGGAAAAGATTCTACGCACATTGTAATGATAAGTAGCTCTGTGAATGTTGTACCACTAGATAAGTGATTACAATTGCAGTAACTGTAGTTGCATCTGTATTATTTCTTATTTTTGGAGAATATTTTTGTTTTGCAATAGGTGTAGATACACTCTCCTGCAGTGATTATAATAATATGATTGAACAATAATAAATAAAATAATTATCATTGAAATGAGTACAATATTACCTTATTATGTATTTAAACGTGATGCGTGAATCCCTATAATGTTATACATACACACAAGGTAGATTTCTAATTGCGGATGTTTTGCGGGGGACATTCTCATAAAATATATTTTTTACATTGTAAAATTAAAATCGTTAGTTTTTTTTATAAAATCTTATCTTGTTTACATTCTTTTATATTTAAAAAAGATCGTTAGTTTTTTTATAAATGAATATATTTTAATAAATCAAGATGTTATTTTATTTTGAAAAATATTTACCGACTTTGCATTTATATAAACTAATTATAAAAAATAATTGGCGGATAATTAAGTCAATTGGCCCGCAAAATTTTTTTTAGCAATTTTTATATTTCTACCGCAATTTTAGTATTTCTCCTGCAAAATACTAAATTTCTCCCGCAATTTGAAAATTTTGACCTGGCAACCCTATACTCGATATTTGAGGTGTGAAATAATTTCTCTAATTTTTTTAATCAGAATATTAATTCTGGCAACTTTTTTTTTATGCCATCAACTGTAAATTATGAAGTCCATGCCCTAAGCACAAATGATGCTCATAACCCCCCACTCTGACGCTTCTTTTGACATTAGCCCCAACATCAGTTATTTTGTTTTTAAATGGAATTCTTCTATACTATCGATCTCAGATAATATGGTTTCATCAGTATGCTTTTCCGAACACTTCTAGTTGCCCGGGTAAAATATTTTAAATCAAAATTTTTATTTAAATGAGCAAGACTAAACGTGATATAATTTCGACGCTTGAAATGACCTGCCCATAAATCAAAAGCGATAGAACAGAATTTTGATGGAGAATTAATCAAATTTAATACACGCGCTTTTATAGATGGATAAACATAATCTAGTGCACCACGACTAATGGGTCCTATCAGGCAATTCTGACGAGAAATCAAATATCATATTTCTATTTTTTTAGACAATTAATTTTTTTAATAATCATTTTATTTAAATTTCAACTTTTAGAGAATCAATATTCCTTTATTGATAAAATGGCATTAAATCTAAGCATCACATCAAAATATAATTTCGCCCTACTTAGATTTTATATTTATTTTATTCATTAAAAGAATATATTTGAAAAACATCAAAACTAGACCTGAATAAAACAAATTTTTAACCTTTCATTATAAAGGTTTATATAATTAATTTAATAAATCGGTTATATATTAAGTATACTCAAAAAATCAATTAGAGCTGGCAATAAACAAACTAGGGTTAAAGCATGTAAATTCATAAAACAAATTAATATGTATCAATGTTTATTTAATTTTGAAATATGATGTATGAATATGAATGAATGTAAATGATATACATTATTTTATTATATGCCAATAGAATACAATTCATAATTTAATTTTATTCGTGTAAATTTAAATAATAATGTAATATATATAAAGATAATTAAATAGCATTCTAAAAATTATGCACGCCGCGCCGCCGCCTTAAAAAAAATCGGCGGCGAGCCTGGTCGCGCCTCTCATTTTAATCGGCGTCTTTTCTTGCATGAATAAAATTGCCGATGGCGCACAGGTTGGATTTATGTTTTTTAGGTCAGCATTTTTACATTGACATTTCTTTATATGCATCAATTACTTTATGTTAATGGACATTCCATTCCTTTCTGCTATACATTAACCATAAATATGGACAAAGATATATTAGCTAATTTCATAACATTAGATTTCATGTGGTTGTTTTTCTATATAATTTTTGGATTATTCATAGCTGGAGGAAAATAATTTTTTTGAAGTTTTTTATGTATACGGTACTATGATATCCTCTAAAAGTTAATTACTTTTTTTATATTAAAAATTATTTGATATGAGACATTTCGTTTAGGTGATTCTTTTTTGGATTTGGAATTAGAAATCCTATATAATTTTTATCTTTTCCTCATATTAAAAAAGGAAAAATTTTATCACAAAATATTTAAGATTTAGAAGTGGGCCTTGATTCACGTGCCGCGATATGCGAAAAGATCAGCCGCGATGTTATACCAACGCTTTTCAAGATTTTTGACGCCGAAGTTAACCTTAAAGAATACTAAAATGATTATTCTATGCATATTTTCTTTTTGCTTATTATTTTAATTTTGAATTATTAAATCAGTTATTATTATAATAGTTTATTATGCCAATATTAGAGTTAAGCCTATTCAAAAATAGTAATTCAAATTGAATCGAATAGTAACGAATACGATTAGTAAATTATTCGTTATATTTGTATATTATTAAAAAAAATTATTCGATTACGATAAGCAAATTGTTTCAATTAAACAAAGAATAATTTTAATATTCAGAATATTTATTAATATATTTTTAATAAAATTCGATTATTTGTCATTTCTACTGATTTGATAATCTGACAGAGCTGGAACTAATTTATTATCAAAAATCGTATATCATATAAACAAGAAACAAGGCTTGGCAAGGCATTATAAATTTAATTAATATGCATTTTAATTTCGTTAATGACTTGATCTTTATCGTCAGTTATTATTATCATTTTTTCTATACAAAATTAAATGTGCATTAAAAAAATTGTCAATATATTTTCGTATGTATTAATATATAATATTAGAAAACGAATATATTCAAATAACTGGATCGATACAAATAGTTTATTTTATTATTCGTACGAATACAGAAGAGTAAACTATTCAATTCATATTTTATTTTGAATAAGGCTAAACTAGATTTAAACATCGATGACATTATACTTTAATCTAAAAATTTATGTATATATATTTTATGCAGTTTTTATTTTATTTGCCAATTTAAGGCGGAATATTATCACAAAACTGTCGATCCTCATAAGATTAACAAGGAGCTTATTTTAAGAATTCCTCTAGCCCTTCCCATATGTAAGTTCATAAAATGTTTACCAGAGGATTCGAGTGTGAATCATTCTATCACAAAGTAATATTATAAAGATCGCATTTATACATTTATTTTATTAATGCATTTTATTTTCTTATATCTTTTCTTTATCTAAATATTTAATTTATTTATTGTTCACGTCGTTAAGAAACGCTTTATTCTCAGAACGAACTATTTATAAAAAAAAATTGTACGTTCCGAGAGGGCTACATATTAACCAGCAAACTAAATGCTGCTTTGATAAAGGATTTACAATGTTTCGGAAGAGAAATCTCCATGAAAAACTAATCGAGAACCCGGAGTTTGGAACTTGGATGAAAAGGGGCTCGGTTTGAATATTTTAAAAAAATTGCTCCGGTTCCAAACTGTTAATCACAAAAAAATAAAAAGTTTAAATATAAATATTTTAAAAAGAATCGCACAATATTTTAAACAATATGGGTTAAATTCATGACAAATCAACAAAAAACACGATTTTCAACCCGAGCCCGATTTTTCTAAAATTTTTACAAGAGTTTGTATATATATTAACTAAGAAAAAAAACGAAATTTTAGCCCTCAACAGAGGCATACAGGCTTTAAAAGATTAGGCATTTTGGGCAAAATGCTCTTCCTTTAATTTTTGATATCTTACCATATAATTAATCTATAAGTTTCATTTAAATTTCTTTATATAGCTTAATGGTGTAGACCTTTAAAGCAGGGACCCAAACCTATTTTTATAACAGTTCAGTATGTAATAAATTATAATGGTTACGGTTCTTGAGAAAAAATTTATAAAGGTTTGGTTTGGTCAGTTAATTGTAAAGGTTTATAATGGTTCATTACGGTTAGAAATTTTTTTCTAAATTATTTTTATTGAAGCAACACCATCATATAATGATTTTAATTATGAATATTATTTATTAAAATTTTTGCCATCACTTAAGTTCATTAATTTATTTTTATTATAAGTAGGGGAGACCGGGGTTATGGCGAATCCAAAAAGTCAAACCTAAATAAAATTAAAAGTACTTTATCATTTTTAATAAAAAATATCTCTCATTTTGTTCAGCTCTATTAGTTTTATGGTAGATTTAAATAACAAAAATACATATCTAGTACTTTTTTCATAATTTTAATTTTTCTGGAATTTTTTTTTGGGAACGAGTGAACCCTACCCGGGGACGAACGAGCCTTTGCTCGGGGCTATTATAAGCTCTGCTTAATTTTCTACATAAAAGTTATATATTTTTTTATTAGAACATATTTATTGATTTAAAGCATAAAACTAATATATAAAATCATTTCTAAACAAAAAATGGGAACAATATTCACAATCTTTGCAAATAAAAAAGGGATTGAAATTGCAACAACTTCCATGACCAATAACCACATTTACGACATTGAAACCAGTCTTGATTGTTATGATGCTTGTAATAATTTTTTTTGCACACCAAACAATTTTTTGATTTTTTTCTTTTATTTGCTCTCTCCATGGCTTTTTTTTTATATGGTGAAGAAGTTAAAATAGCAGAATATTGTTTATTTTTTCCAGACTTTTTATAAAATGTTGGGCATGGAAAAATTGATTCTGGGTCAAAATTTTTAGAGGTTGTTGGCTCATTTGAATAAGAATGGATGATTTTAGACTCATCTTGTCTAATTCTCAATGAAATATCATTACTATCATAATTCTCAATATTAAAATTGTTATTATTATCAATAGTTTCCTCATAATTTAAGGTATTGCATATATCATTTACTAATGTATTATAACTTTCATCATTAAAAATTATAGGGTTAAATGGCCAAATTCTACATGATTTAAAACCATTTTGAACTATAGCTGGAGCACATGCTTTAGGTAAAATTTCATTGACTATACCTGGTATATCATAGATTGTAAAATGTTTACCAGAATTATTTCTCATCCATGAGTCAACTGAAGAGTTATAATATCTCTTTAATGGGCCAAACACTGTATTATCCAAAGGTTGTAGTTTATGGGTACAATGTGGTGGGAGAGTTAATAATATTATCCCTTCTTCCAAACAAAAGTCAATAGTTTTTATGGATTGGTGAGAAATATGATTATCCAATATAATAAGGACCTTTCTATCTTTTGCAGAGACATAACTCATTTCTAAATATATTATTTGAACGGATAATATATTTTCTGATATAAGTGGATTCATATTTGTTCGTTGTGACAATAACACAAATTTTAGCCCCAAAAAGGCTCTTTTAACAGAAATTGTGTTGCGGGATAACCAATACTATAAGTGCAAGTTTGTAAAATTCTGAATATTCAAATTTTTTTGATTCCCATTATATAAAAAATGATGATTTTTTAGATTAATTAAATGCAACTAAATCAAAAATTGGTTATTTAGATTTTGCATAATAAAATATAGAAAATAGGAATGCTATAATACTACATATGAAGCAGTTAAAAGATTTTGGATCAATTTAAGTCATAGTGAAAAATTAATACATACTTTTTATGGATATTAAACAAATATTTTGATCATTTATTGATTATAAATAACGAGGCAGATATGGTAAAATATGGAATACACCACAAGGAAAAGAATGTAATAAAATGTAAAATTATTTATTATATTTTGGCTAGAACCGGTTCAACCCGGTTAACTTTTTTTATAAAGGTTCTTTTTACTCCTTCAGAAAATAATTACATCAGTTCCGGTTCAGATATTTATAACGAGTTAGCGGTTCATTCTAGTTCACTCCATGTCTCAGCTTTAAAGTAACAATGATAAATTTTGTTACAAAAATTTAAATGTCGAAAACAGGTAATGATCATAAAATCAAATTGTATCTTTTTTCTTTCTGAATTTTTATTTATTTCTAAATAATAGAATTAATTAATAAATTTGCAAAATTTCAAGTTAGGCCTAGCATGTTTAGGAGATATGGCATTTTAATCATTAGTCTATCGCATATATTAATAAATATTTAAAATCAAGCAATAATTATAATATAAGTCAAAAGCTATCAAATATTTTATTTTTAAAAGAATAGTCATTTAAGATCTGGAAAAGCATTTGGGGAGGGATAGCGGCTTTGTTAATTTATTTGATGATGAATTGAATTTCTCTCATAAAAATTACTAAAAAATACAAATATTTTATTGAAGATAAAATTTAATTTTTATATATTGTAAATGACCAATTATCTTTTCCTAATATTGAAATGATACACAATGGTAAAATTATATCATATATAATTAAGTAAATGAATAATTAATTTTTATCCATCAACAGAGAATAGGAAACCTTTGAAGCTAGATCGAATTATGTTAATTGTTATTCTTTGTCTCAGGTAAGAGCCTCTATTTAAATTTTGAATAATTTTCACAATATGAATTTGACCTTAATTTAATTTTCCATAAGAGGTACAAAAGCATGAAAATTTTGTATTCTGGGATGAATTTGGCCTTTGGAACAAATTTTTTCATATTCGTCATCTTTTACATATGCGTAATTAATTCCAGTGATATTTGATTTGCAGAAGTTAAATGAATCTAAGGTATTTAATATTTTAATCTCATAGGGATGCTGATGGTTTATATTCCAAAATCAAATTCACAATGCAAATTATGAATTTTATTCTTATATTGAGTATACTACATCGTCAGAAAGAAATATTTTTGATTAAGGTTGCTATAAATAGTGTTGTTAAAAAGCTGAGATTTTCCGGCTCCGATCTTGGTCGAAGAAGAGGAGTTGGCTCGAGTCTAATTTTGAGTCAAGATTTATTTATTTAAATATTTTAAAAGAATATAATAAATATCTATAATTCATGTATCATGCCAAGTACCCTCATATATTTTTTAAGTATTTTTTTAAACATAATATTTATATTATATTATGAAAATAGATTTATTTATTTGATGTTTTTTTAATAAAAAAAGATGATATGCTGCTATTTTGTTTGTTACAATTTATTAGTGATTTTCACGCCCAAAATTTTAAGCAAAAAATATTTTTTGAAGTTCAAAAAGATTTTTAAACTTGTTTGTAAATAAAACTTTTTTGAGAATTTTTTTTGATCTTTTATAGTTTTTTTTTATATCATTTTTATATATTATCTATTTTTTAAAGTATATTAAAAGAGATGATTTTTTCTAAATAGTTTTTTTAAAAATATTTATATTAAACTTTTTTATGTTTTTTATAAAATCTTTTTAAGGATAATATTTTAATGTGACAATTGTCATATTCGTTATATTTTAACATTTTTGACACAAAAGAGTAAAAATAATATTTATATTGTAGATGTTAAATCATAAATTCAATGAAGATGTTCCTTGGAGAAATAACAATTATCATAATCGGTATTTTTAAAATATATTAGATTTTTTGACGCTAATAGGCAAAAATATGTATTTTTAACATGTTGAATTAAAATTTCAATTAAGATATAACATATAAAAGTGACAATTGTCATGATTGTTATTTTTAAAGTTTTTAGAATATTTTTGATGCAAATGCGCAAAAATAAGTATTGCTAACATGTTAAATTTAGAATTTAATTAAGATGTACCATAGATAAGTGACAATTATCATAATTGTTATTTTTAAATTTTTTTAACGTAAATGGGTTAAAATAAGTATTGCTAACATGTTTAAATAAAACTTCAGCGAACAATTATCATAATTGTTATTTTTAAATTTTTTTAACGTAAATGGGTTAAAATAAGTATTGCTAACATGTTTAAATAAAACTTCAGCGAAGATGTACCTTGGATAAGTGACAATTGTCATGATCGTTATTTTTAAAGTTTATTGAATTTTTTTGAAGCATATGGTTAAAAATATAGGTTGTAAAAATGTCAAATTAAAATTTCAAGAAGATGTGCCATAGAAAAGTGACAATTGCCATAATCGTTATTTTTAAGATTTTCAATATTTTTTTGAGAAATCATTCAAAAAAAGATATTTTGTTTAAATTTTATTAAAATAATTCAATATTCGTTCTTTAACTTTCTTATTTTTTTATGAGATATGTATTAGTACCATTTGGCGAAACAAAAA